GAGCTGCCAGGATCTGCAAAGTAGGGCAAGAACCACTCTTTCCACATTAGGTAGCAATGAAAAGACTTTGCTTTCAAGGTTTGAGTTTGAATGCTGTGTTGCAAAGTATTTAAAACCTTCCCTGAAGAAGTTTAAAAGGAACTGCATGATTTTACATCCATTCTTGAATGCTTATAGTTTAAAATATTAAGCAGGAAAAGCAGATTGTGGTAAACAGCATACTAAGTAAAATGCTGCTATGCTCTTACTTTCCAAGTTAGTCTGCTCTGTCTTTTAAGCAGAGGAGAGTGGTTTGCAGGTAGAAACTTTCTAGAAGTCCTTCTTTCCTTACTTTAATATTAGCAAAACATCAACTCTCACTATGTGATGACTCAAAACTGTATTTAACTCAGTATTTTTGCAAATGGTATTAATAAAATCTGCTTGACTATGTTTTCTCTAGATTAAGAGCAGTCTATATAAATTGGCAAGGCATTTTTAGGTCTGTAAACATGCTTTATGAAAAACAGGAGCTTGCTGTTGCTTATTTTGCTGAATAGAATATAGGCTTATTAATGGTAACAGCAATTATTCTGACTTTTGATTCAACCTTCACGGGACCTTTTATACTAAAAATAGAACCAAAAATATCTGGTGAATGAGAGAAATAATTCTTCACTTCCACCTCAACTCAAAGCAAACCAAAATTGTCAGACCAAAAGGAGGCCAGGGAAGTGAATAATTTGTGTCTCTGGTTACTTAAGATGACAATGCACCAGGTCCATCATTCCTGTGTAGGGCCTTGAATTAAACACTGAAATTTTAGTGCAGACAGGTTGGAGCTAGGTGCTATGTAAGGTCCCTTCCAACCCAAACAATTCTGTGTATCTAAGAAATACAAATACATTAAGAAAACCCATGTGCACATAGATGTGAGTGATGCCTCATCTACAAAGGCATGGGGAGGTAAATTATGTAGAAACTGGTTCTGTTAGAGGAAAAGGCTTACACAGAAAACAGAAGACCAAGCATATCAACTATGCTATTTCAGTGCAGGTTCTGGAGCGTCATGAAAATGGCAAAATTAGCTAGTAAGGATTGAGAAACAATAAGCAAACGAACAAACAAACAAAACCCCAAAACAGTGCAAAAACAACATCAAAAAAATCTTCAGTATTGGTCTGAATAGTTGTTGTACAGTCAGGTAGCTTAGCTGAAAATAGATTAATTAATTTCAGTGATTTAAGGCTAAACAAGTGTTGGACAGCAGGTCTTACTGGGCTTGTGTTTTTCAATATTATATAAAATCCGAACAAGTCACACCTAAAAAGTTGTAACCACTCTCAGAGATGTTTTAAATACATACATTCTAGTTCATCTTCTCTCTCCCTCTCTCTCTGTTCTCTAGTCCTTCAATTCACAGTATTTAAACCTCAAATTACTAACACTAGTTACTAGTAACACTAATTCCTAGTGCCTCTGGGCAGGTCATGCCTCACCAGCATTCAGCAGCTCACCTTTACCTCACAGAAGGAGCTTGTGGAAGATCTAAACTTGGCTTTTTAATGAGTGCAGATTCGATGCTCTAGTCCTGAATTTTTTTTTTTTTTTTTGTATTTTGGAATCATGAAAGAAAAAGCACAGAGATTTTAATCCCCTCTTTGAAAGTTTTTCCATATTGCACAAAACAAAAAAAATAATTGAAGACAATTAGTCTAACAGAATACCCACAAAAATCTGTGGATTAATTTTTCACCTTTTTTTAATTTAACCAAATTATCTATTTCAATTGGTACATTTCAATACATACTAGATTTTTTACTTGAAATTAATCATGAATAGCTTTGGACAAGAAAGCAAATTTGACTGCCAGTAGATTTCACATTAATACTTCTTTGGAAAAGAAGGGATATAAAAATGCAATTTATCCAGTCCAATTATATAAAATTGAATATTGGTCTGTCAGTCATAGGCAGACAATCTAAGTAATGCATCTAGCCAGGAAATTTCGTAACTTTCATGCTTATATTCTTTTCAGAACTATCGTAAAGATCTGGGTCTAGGTCATAGCAAGTGTACTTCTCATGAATATTTCTTAACAGCTGACTATGCATATTTTTATCTGCAAAGTATATTTCAAGATTTCTGAAGGCAGCTGAATTTTCAGAGAAGCAATCTTTTAATGAACTTAACTGCTCAAAAGCTGCATGTCTCATTACCCATAATTATTCCTCAAAGTCCAAAACTTGATGATAAAGCTGCGTCATTCCAAATTTCCAGCAGTTCAGGATTTAAATAGAAACATTTACAGGCTTATATTCCTGGCAAATACAAATAACTATCAGACCCAATACAGGCACAATTTCCCACAAACCATATGATATGCAAGAACTGAGCTGCTCACTCTGTAACAGGCCATCTACAAAGAAGAAAATTTTTAAAGAATCTCTTTTCATACATATTCTATTTTATTCTACATTTTTGCAAGCGTCTTAGTTCTATTGGTGCTTCTGCATTTCCAAACTTCAAGGTTTTCTCTGTCAATAACAGAAATTGCTTGAAATAAGAGCATATCTGTTTACATGCCAATCCTTTAAGTCTAAATTAACACAATCTACGTGATGTTACAGCTGGAAGTCTGACAGATACTTTGTGGTATTTGCAGGAAGCACTTAAAGCCTTCTAAAGCGCAGATGATTTTGAGACACCGAATCCCTTTGTGCTCTACCTGGCACATTATTTCCTCAATACCACAGACAATTTTTTTTTTGTACTTTTTTTCCTCAACACGTTGAATAGGCTAAAAATTGCCTTTCTGTACAATGTCCTCTCCTCACACACTACATGACACCTGCTGCATTCAGCTGGGAGGCTGCTGCCATCTATTTCTATCTCCAAATGGCAAAGCTGAATGGCACTAGGGCATGTGCTGAAAGAGCAGAACTAATCAGGAAATTATTTTTACAGTCACAGAAGAGCCTAAGATTGCAAAATTCACAATTTGGCAATATAAAATGAGGGTGAATGCAATATTTGAAAGAACAAGAGCAGCTATGACGGAAGCATTTTCATTATCTGTTTCTATACAGCTGCATGCAGATTATTGTTTCAAAACCTACAGATCAATTGCTATCAATTATTTAAATATATAGCACGTCCAAATTTATGAGATTTTTAAAAGCAATATTTAGTCAATGTTTGGAGGCAGGACCTAAATAACATAATATCTTCTCAAAATCAAATAATTTAAATTCAGTCAAATTTCCAAAAAAATTAAAGAAGTGGTTACTTTCAAGGAACTAATAAACATGGTATAAATATTTAATAGAAAGCCATTAGATAGGTATAGCTTTTGATTCTTTTTCCACAGAGTTGCTGATATTTAGTGCCAAAAGAAAGATTCCTTTCAAAGTATATTTTCTAAAATTTGCTATAAATACAGTAAATACTAGAGAAGTCTACTGACCTACCTAAGCAAATCATTAACAGTCAGACAGTTTGAATATGTGTATTCAGTAAGAGAAAATAGTTTTTTAATGACTGCTCAATAGGATGAGACTGATAGGATTTATTAGAGTTTAAAGGCTCAATTGCAAAGCATCCAATGATTACAGATGAGAATAGAAAGCAAGGCACTTTTGACTGTCAGTAAAGGCAACTGAGAGCATGACCTAAATAACATGAGCAACTGAAAGAGACATTTCCTGTTGCAGTGGTTTGGGAATAATACTCCTCAATCCAGCACCCCAGTGAGACTCTCCCAAACCAGCCTGCTCGCTCACCTCCTTCCCATTCCAGGACTGGATTTGGGGATTGGAGGCACAAAGGTGAAAATTACAGGTTGAGATAAGAACAATTTACTAGAAATAGCAATAAGGTAAGAAAATGAACAGTAACAGCAACAATATTAATAACAAAAGGTTGTAAGAAAAACCAATTATATGGCAAGTAAAACAGTACCAGACCATTGCAATCACCATGCTCTTCCCTCTCAAACAGAACCAAAATGAGAGAGTCCCCTCTTCCTGCCCCAGGCAAGTGATGCAAGATGGTATCAAATAACATTATGGTTCAGCCATGCCCCCTTCCTGACTACTGTAAAAAATTAATCCAAAACCGGGATACATTTATGACTTAAAAACCAATGTACACAATTTTCAGATTGACCATATATAGCTACAGTCTCATAGACCAAAGAAATCAGGGATTCCTGTTTATATGACAGCTTTAAAGAGATCAAGTTTTCATACACATAGACTCAGAATAGTTTAGAAAAGCAAAAGAATTGAACAAAGCAGATAAAGACAAGAAGCCTGGCTGGCAAGAGAACAAGGCATCATATGAATAAAATATTTTCAAGTGCAACATCCTTTGCAAAAATGAAGGAATGGAAAGAGAAACTACATCCTGATTTAGGCAAATTGTGTGGAAGGAAAGGGATAAGGGGGAAAAGAAATATAATGCTGCTCAAATATTTCATGTTTCTATTCAAAGACCAAATTTCAAAATAAATTCAGTTTAATACCAATACACATTATTTAAAACGTATTTTATATTTTATTTGGAATTTTGGAATCAATCTGGGATTGATACTCATGGCACACAAAGCTTAAAAAAACGTTCTAGGAGTTTGAGGTTATTTTCAATTTTATTAAGAATCTCAGTTCCAATATTGCATTTCCTTTTTCCTCCTCTTGCTGTTTATTTCTAAAGTAAGCAATAACAGTAAGAACAAAGTTTCACTGTGTGTCAATAACCGACAGAACTTCCTTTCTGAAAAAGCAGCTGAAGTTACAGAAGTGTACTATCAAACTAAGCACCACTAGCATGGGGTCAACCACTGCATTCAATGAAACACTATTTCTACATGCACACAGTCGTTTTTGTTTGCTTTTCTGTTCAGAGAATTTCACTGGTGCCTTTTTTGCCTACTACAATAAGGTGCTTTACATCCGAAGCCAAACCACACTCTCTCCCAATATGAAATCTGAATTGAGATGACAATCAAATGTTCCTCTTACCTCGTTTTGGAGGTCTCGTATAATTTTGCTCTTCCTTTCCATTTCAGTCTTCAAAAACTTAATCTAAAATTTTAAAGAAATGTTGAGTCAGAGTTGTTGAAATGTAATAGTAAATACTAATTATTTTTTGACGCTTTTAAAAGTTTTGGAAAAAAACAACTTCCAAATCAAAATCTTTGCTTACATACCAAATTGGTACAGGCCACAGTCAAGTATTTGATAAATCTAAGCATTCAGCATATTTACTAGAAAGCTTATAATCAAAAGAAGAAAATTGCTGTATGTAAATAGGCTTACTTTTGTTTTGTACCAGTAGACATAGTGTTTATTTTTCACAAGGTAGTTCAATGTTATCTTCAAAGAACTAAGGATTTTTAAAACAACATTAACTGATTTTCTAACAAAAATATTTTTCCCCTCTAAAAACATATCTATCAGAGCAGGTTTATAACAGAGTTATTTTATTTGAATGCTACAGTGTTGGTCCTAATTAGATAAATACCTTGCTTCTACTCAGACCCACCTCTGGAATTAAGTGTGTTATATATGACAGCATTCAAATATGGTCCTTAGATCCTACTTAAGTCAATGACTTGGCTTGGAAAGTAGAAATTCCAGTCACAATGCTTGAGACTGAATTTAATCAAACACAGTTTAAAAAATTATTCTTGCAAAAGAGTTCTTTCAGGACTGAGCTTTAATCACAGCTTATGGAATACAATGGGAGGAAGGAGGACAGAATTATAAACTAGGATTAAAATAACACATTTCTGTTACTTTGAAGGAAGATGCTTTTGGATTGTTCAATTAGCAAAATCCCTATTTACCCTATATCCCATGCTGTTGGTACAAAACTCTACACATGGTCAAGGGAAACTACAGTTGTTCTGACATTGCAACAGAAAAACAAAACTCCTGTAAGAAAATAGATTCAGATTTTAGAGACATTGACCCAAAGGTTAATGGTTTGGATGTCATGTACATAAAAAAATGAACACTGAATCTACATGATATGACAGCTGTTCTTATAACCATGTCCCCACTCAAGTAGACATGTCAGTAATTTAAAAAACATCACTGAACTGACAGCACTCTCACCTGTATCAAAAGTGAAGTCAGAGAATGCTATCATCACTTAAGACAGAAATGTAGGTAGGGGGTCCATGAAACTAGTGCCACTTGACATACATAAGTAGAATTTCTTTTGCAAGCTCTTCCAAAGTTCTATCTAAGTGCTTTGATTGTGGAAACACTGATTTCACATCCACCTACTGGAAGAGAATGATGCTTTATTCAGCAGCTGCCTAGTAATGACATCCACAAATACGGAAATTTAGAACATGAATAGATAATAAATATGAAGATTTTGCACAACAAAAAGTAAAGGTCATAATCAAAATATCAGATCAAGATGAATGGGGAGAAGCACAATACAGCTATTTATTGTGGTTACTTTGTTTTTTTCAGCTGTTCAAAGGAATTGCCAGCTACCTACCATTAAATACTGCAAAAATATACTGATCTCCATTAGAGTGCTCCCTTCCTTAGATCTATCTCTCAGGAATATTAATACTCCTTCAAGGCACTTCACTTCTACTTATGAATATATATGAAATAATTAAAGAGATGTAATACCAAAATTATTTTCTCTACATAGCTTGGATCTTTTAGGGAAGAGACATTTAAGACAGTCCAGTACTCTAAATTTATCCAGTAATCTATGTTAGTTAAATTTCGTTAATTACTATTTACATACACATGCATCTTATATCACTGATATGGACACCTTACACAGAGCAAGCATATCATTTTAGCTTAGCTGAAAAAACCCCAAAAATTAAAATTAACAAATTAAAATTTTAAGAATATTTTTACATTGCTTCCTTTTTCAAAAATAATAGAAGAATTATTTAGGAACTGATTAATTTTTGCCTTTAAATTGTAACAGCATTTTAAGGGTCTTCTACTAAATCTCTAACACACGAAGAACCACTTAGTCACAAAGTATAGGTATGGAGAGTTACATAGGAGTGATTTCTATGACTTGTCTACTAGAGCCATTAAAGGGATAACTTTATCTCTCCATTTAAGTGTACCCATATGTATAGCTTCATGTTCTAAGGCAGACCAGTCTGTATCAGACCATTTGCATGATGCTTTCAGTAAGTCTCAAGGACAAGACGTAATTTTCCAGAAGAGACGTAAAAATAGTCCTTTCAGTCATCAAATCCTGATAGTATAATAAGCAAGAATAGACATTTATACCCAGCTCTAAATTACTAGTGAAAAAATAACATTCACCTCTTTCCACATGTTGTTTGTCTTTAATTGTTCTCTGGCTGCAATTATGACAGTACATAATGAAAATATATTGTCTTAAGGCTGAACTTCCCAGTACTAAGTAAGGACACTGCTTCCATACCCTGGAGAGAGTCATCCAAGATACTCAAGAGTTTTGTGTGTTTCGGAGCTCATTATGTTTATTAAAGACAACAGTTTCCATCCAGTGGCCTTTACTCACAGCAGTTGGTGACCTTGAAATGTTTAAATTAAATTTTCCCCCATCAAAATAGAGAATGCTTCAGCAGATGGTAGCGATCTAATTCTAAGAGTCAGACAATCGTAGTTATCCATGACAGGATGGTAAAATCCCAAAATAACACCACTACTGCACAGCTAGGACGCGGCTGCAATGATACTCACCTCCAAACTCGTGTATCTTGCTCAGGACTAAAATGAGCAGTTAAGGTGTGACTGAAATTCATTCATTAACACCTGACTATTTTGGCCATATCTGGAAACCCTAACATACTCATTCTTCATTTTCCTGGTCTACTTTTCAAGATAAAATGTAAAAATTGACTTCAAAATATAGCGTAAAAATTGACTTCAGAGGAAACTGTCTAGGCTATTATGTAAAACATAGAAAATATTCTTTCCTTTGGCAAAAAGTGTTCTACAGAGTGCTAAATACTTGTAAAAGCAAAGCTAAATAGATTTCACCTATTAGTCTTTCTAAGAAGAATGTAACTTTTAAGCTGCAAGTTATAATTTGATTAGTAAATGAAACTTCCATCAAAGGAACATTTAGGACTTTATGAATAGTCATAAAAGCTTTTACTAGAAAAAACCAAATATTTTTAAGGGAAAAGAACTTCAGAACTTTTTATTAAAATCTTTCAATTATGGGGATAATACTGGATCAAATTCCCCATATTCTGTTAACCTTTTATTACATAACCCTTTATTATAACATTTTATTACTAGAAAACCTTTTATTTGTAAAAAATAAAAGAAAATCTTTTATTTGCATAATCTTTTATTACTAGAAAAACCCTACTGATTTAAAAATACCCATATTGTTTATGGTTCCTTTAAATAAGTAATATATAAAGTGTTACTTAATTCTCATTTCTCATAATGAACACTGAGGAAAGAAAGGAAATTACACAGACAAATTTTCTCCTTTATTTTGACAGACAGTACTGTAACTGCACTGCCAAATAATCCATTAGCATATCTTCTTTAAAATTGCTAGCATGATATAAAATACCAACAGAATAAAATAGAAAAGGTAGATTAAACTTACTCTATTTAGCCAAACTATTTTTGAGTGTTTCCATATTTCTTTTTCTCCCTCATCCAGAGCCAGCCAGCTATCTATATAAACTTTAACTGCAGTTAATGGGAAATAAGTTTTTAAACTTGCTAAAAATGTAACTATTTCTTAACATGCAAACATTAGCATGAAGTACAGCCAAGCAAAGAGTCAGTCTTCCAAAAGCTCTAAGAGCCTTTTAACCTAATGAAGACATACAGAATCAATATTTATTCAAATTCATTGAAAAACCTCAAACAAACAAAACAAGACACGAAACAAGTTACATGTGCCACTTGCTCTGTGCCTTTTTGTTAACAAAAGTGAAAATCAGTCCATGATCTCCAACTCTGCTTCTGGAAGAAGTGGCTCCACTTCACATTTAGAGATAATAGCTTAACTTTATTAATATTTTTCACTGCATGAAAACTTAATACAAATTGCTTAGGTATTTGATGCTAAATACAGAACAAAGAACTTTTTCAACCTTCAATTATTGTTAAAGAGGACATCAGGTTATTTGGAATGATGTCTTACATATTTTATATGTATATTGTACACCTAAACCCAGTATGGTCCTTCTGAAACGTTTTTAGATATAAAAATGATCTACAATTCTAGTGTGAGACCATCTGTAAAAAAGCTCCTTCACAACCAAAGTCTTTCTGGAAGACTGTATTTGACCTTGAAGTCTGCAACGTAGAACAAGTCTAAGATTGAAACCATCCTTAAAGTTTTTCTAGTGTTTCTCTGGACATTTTATTATCCCAGACACAACTGTTGAAACAACAGGCATAAATGTATCACAATTAATTAAGTTAGAATTAAATTCAAGCTCCCATTCTCTCACTAGTCTTGCATTAAAGTACTTAGACCTTCTTTCATAGATTTCACATTGTTTCCAGAAAAACGTGGAACATGTAGAGAAATGAGGTATAAAATAACCTTGTGTGTCAGTAATAATATCTATCTCCACTTCTATTGCAATTTTCATCTGAGGATCCTGAGGTACTTTTTGAATATTCATTCAGTCTCACTGTCCTGCTGAGCTTCACTATGTACATTGTGCTCCAAGGAATAAAGAAGTAAATCACAAACCAAGGACACAGTTCTGATTTCTTTAGAATTATTAGCAAGTTTAATATACTATTAGCATCGAGTATTGGAATACAGCTCAAGAATTCAGATTCTTTAAGCATCTGGCACCCCTCCAAGCTCCCAGAGGAGCTTTCCCTGGTTTCTACACCAGGTTGTATTTTGCTACCAGTTAATGGCAGATATTGTTTTATGTAGAACAAATCTTGTGCTTTTCGAAGTGCTAGACTGGGACTCAATGTACACAAGGCACTGTTGCTCAAACAAGAAAAGCATTAACACCAACAAATCCATTCACTGTATTTGAGATTTATGCAATCCACACCTGAATTAGTCTTGAGGATCAAAATCTAATAAAAAGATTCAATAATTAAATTTTTTCCACCCTCCATTTGTAGGACTAGAATTCATCGTGCTGATAAAGTCAAGAGGAATGCATTCAATACACCTGAAAATTGTCAACTTTCAACTAGTATGTTCTGACTACTTATCAGAGACTACTAGATCGTGATTTTTCCCTTATTTCAGAGCTATATCGAAGGAAGTGATTCTTTCCCCCTGCTCTGCTCTTGTGAATCCCCACCTGGAGCACTGTGCACAGTTCTGGCGTCCCCAGCATAAGAATGACAAGGAACAAAGGGAAAAAAATGTGTTTTCAAAAATGAGATTAACTGAAAGAAACCTCCAATAGGAATAGCTTGGTCCACAATCCAAGCTGTTTCTAATTAGAAGGTAGGAAAACATACACTCTCACATTTTGTTCACCAAGGGAATAAAGCCACATACAAATCACAGTCATATGAAATAAGGCACTGTAAGTATTTGTTGAATTTAACAATTTCATTGTCTGTCTTGGACAAACCCTTGCTTTGTGACCCCGGAAGACAGCAAAATGTTAGTAAAGAAATCTGTAGTTATCCAATATGAAATAGAAAATAGATCTATAAACACTTCTAGCAGGTTGTTTTCAAATCCAGAGTTCAAATCATAAAACATTTAAGGTTTGAAGGAACCTCTGGAGATTATCTAGTCAACTTATGCTCAGTTGTGTCCATGTTTCAGGAATACTAACAACCAACATGAAAAATTTCCTTTTTTCATCTTAGTAAACATGATTCTACCTTTTTATTTCCCTACAGTAGCAAAATGTGTCTATTTATGCTACAAAACATCACGTTGCTACATGAAAGTCAAAACAATTGTGCAGTTTGTCCAGAGACAGAATTTCAATAAAGCTTGAAATCTTAATGGGACTTAATAATACCCTCTAGAATGATAATTAGTTCCACCATGGCCAAAATCAGATGCTCTACTATCTATTTTGTTGCTGAAAATCCATAGTAATTCCTAAAAAGTCAATAGATGTATGACAGTCTATATTAGTATAGATGAGACATGGGAGTCCATAAAGATCATCTCCCCAGGGAGAAGACTTAGGCCTAAATTTCCTGTCTAAAGTCTCCAAAAGTGTATAAATATCCCTAAATTCCACAGAAATAAGGGAAGATATCTTAATATTTTAGAATATTAAAAATTCTTCCAGATCCTTTCTTCTGAAGCTTGCAGAGTACTAACACATATATGAAATCCATTCTTTTTTTACAAAGTTTTTTAAGCTAATAAATTCTCAAGCCAAGATTAAGAAAAAATGGAAGAAAAACAAAAATAAGGACAGAAAGAGAATCACTCACGGTAGCCTGCTGCTTCTCTGCCTTCTCAGCTGCCTCATTAAGCTGCTTTTGAAAGGCTTCATGGAGAGATTTCATTTCCCTAGGTTATTGAAAACACAGAATACAAACTTCAACACAAGTGTCCACTAGGAAATACTTATTCAGATTAAAAAACGGACCTTTAATTAGTCAGAGTAGGAAACAGATGTACTTTGTCTGTGAGTCTCACAAATTAAATCATAATGACTCCATGAAGTATAGTGCCAATGCAAAATAAAAATTATCTATGATGCAAAGTGGCCACCGTTTATGTCTGCTGTGAAAAACATCTGCTAATGAATAATTTCTAACAAAAATCATTCACACCAACAAAGTGAGAAAAGTAGGCAAGTGAAAACCCACTGTCATCGAGACATACTATTATCAATAAGAACTAGTTTATTTCAGCTTTAAAATAAACAAATAAATCATGCTCTGAAAAAATTCAACCTCATATGGCACTTTCTAGAGACAAGCAATGAAAGATTCAATAGAAGATTCTGGTATAAAAAGAAAAAAGAGCAGGATAATTGCTTGGATTGGGTTCATTTGAATCAAGTGAAAACCCTTTGCATTACTGATTCAGTCAGAGATTTTCTCCAAATTGTGGGAATTTTCTACCCACAGTACATGACACCCTTTGGAGATGTAGCAAAGTAGTAAAATGCCATATTTCATAACAGCTGTAGAGCTTTTGAGGATTGCTGCTTGCGTGGATAAACTCTCAGTGAAGATCAAGACAAGTGGATTTACAGACAGTAATATGTAATAATTTAGTCCTGTGAAAACTAAACTGAATGGAAACCACATAATTTTAAAAGAACTTGCTACCTGTGAGATAATTTTTTTTTTTTTTTTAGCTGATAACCCCTACTACTTTCAGCAATTTCGGCAGCACTAGTATAGAACAGATTTAATTAAAAAAGTAACTGAGCAGCATGAAAACAATATACCATCAGCACCAAAAGATGCCATCATGGCACAGTGTTGATGATACACAGATAGAATAAAACTGGGGGCATCATAGTAAGTGACTAAGTTTTACTTGGAACTTGGGAATTATTGAACAATTTGCACAAAAGGAATTAAAAAAAAATTATTTTGAAGTTAACAGAACATTTACTCACAAAAGCTGAAATTCTAGTACTCTAAACTTTACTGTATTGTAGAGTATAATCAAAGTTGTCCTCAGACCAAGTCTGCAGCTCATGTTTGTTCAAAGAAAGATTGTAACATTAATATTGGGATATATTTTGAATTTTGGCTTCAATGTAATAGATTTAAGCATAATACTATGTTCATTTTTCTTCATTTACTGCAGATAAAAGGTAGCCTGAGGACCCTGGCAAATAAACTGTGACCCTTCCCCAGTGAAATTCTATGAGGAAGATTCCCTGGCACATTTTAAACTCCTCTTTCATATGCTGAACTTTTACACCTCTCTGGAAATGAAATCTAGTAAGTCTGTAAACTGCTGGCAACAGTATAGCCCCAAAGCATTTCCTTGCAGTATACTGTAAAAACTTTTCATTTTCTGAATGATGGAGTGGGCTGCTCAGCAGCAGATTGCACTGATCCACTTTTTATTTCTGGAAACTGCTCTTGTGCAGTACACTCAATGTCTCAGAAGCAAAATCAAGATATATTTTAGGGTGGAACTTGAGAGACTGCAAGGGGTGATTTACAGAGGAGATTAGGAAGAATATTTGAAATATGTAATAAAATTTTCTTTCAGCAGACTCAATTTTCCCATATGCAACTAAGATCTATTTACTAAACAGTCCATTAATACTTTTAATCAATTCATGTCTCAATTTCATAAAGGAAAATTGCACGACAGTCAAACCACAAAACTGCATTCATGTATGATGAAGGATTTTGTCTGTGTGAAGGACAGCTATGGTGCTGAGATGTTACACCTTCAGTCATATCCAAGCCACAGAAGTATTTAAATAGAACAGTAGCTAAAGTCTTTCCTTTAGAATTTATTTGTCTGGAATACCTGAAAGATTGTTATGGATCACAGTAAAAATAAGAAATTGCACTGGTATTGTATTGCAGACCTTATATATTGGGTATTTAAGATATGAAGATAAATTTCTCACAAGCTTTCTATGCAGCAATGATATTTTATTCATATTTTCATGTGTGCATCTACACTGAATGTAGATGTAAGATGGCCATGGAATTTAATTATTGCATTTCCAACAATGAAGGAAGTATGAACTTAATAATTTTTCTTACTAAACATTTTTCCTAGGGAGAAATATGAAATATAGATGCACTCATTATATACTATTTTTCCAGCAAAAGTGGTCACTATATTAGTTATGTTTTCTTGTTACTAAAATTGTATTGATGTTGCTATTTGTTGGACTGAATTTTAAAAATGCAGCACTAGGGAAACTGAGACTAAGGACTAGGCTGGGAACTTGCATTCCCAGCTATGGGAAATAATTTTTTAAGTGCTCAATGAATAATTTGAAATTAATACTTCTTTCTCTTTCTAACTCCATTCATCACTAATACCCAGTGGAAGTATTTCTGTTTGCACATGGACTAGTGATTTTGAGTGTCTACACATATAAACATTTAATTAAGAGCTTTGAATAAATGTCATCATATCCAAACTTAAGAGATTTAGACACTTTAGTAATTTAATATTCTAAAAATCCTGAATTTATTTTTTAAGGAATATTTCGTGACTAAATTTTACTTTAAAATTCAATGTCTTTCTTTAGCAGATATCTCACCATACCATTTTAATACATTTTCCTATCATATGTCAAACATCAGTAAATTCATAATTTGTTTCAAAAAGAGTATTTCCTGCCTTTATTTTACTGTTACAATTAGCAGATTCTGGAATACAGCAGTGTTTATAGTAAAAGGAAAGGTGAAATTTGCTAGTCTGACAGCTTTTAGTCAGGAAATGGAAAGAAAAAGAAGGAAGCGAAGGTCTTACCTTTGGTTTTGGCCCATTTCCAGAAGTTTCTGTACATCATTTTTGGTTGATGCTTCATCATTTTTTAAAGACTGATAGCAACAACAACAAAAAAACTCTATTAAAAGAGATCCTTTTTATTAATAATCTGTAAAAGTATTTAGCCCTTGTTCCTAAAATGGTCCTGGTGAATTGCAGACATTACCACTTAAGAAAAGTGGAAGAATAGTCTGATTTTTCTCTACTGTAGCTCAAACACAGTTAACCGTACACAGCTCTGTAATTTTGCAACACTAAATGTGAGATAAATACAACAAGCAGATTTAGAAACAGACGAATGACTGAAAGCATTAGAATTTTATGACCAAGTAAGTTTATATACGAAGAAGATAATACTACAGCTCTTTGCCTATATCAAGATCTCTGTAGTGTTGAGTTTAAAATATTTCACAGTGTAATTTTGCTGAATATTACCTTCAACTGTGCTACATTCTAAAATAGATTTGCTACAAGGAGAGCAAATTTCTCCAAAAAAAAAAAAAAAAAAAGTCTGCAGTAATGGTGATAACGCACTCAAAAAATCCTCAAATTAAACCCAACTCCCAAACCAAAAACCCCAAGGATCAAAAGGTTGATTAATTAAAACCAGGGAAGTCTGGAACATAAGTAAGTATAATACTATAATAAAGCCCAGCACAGATACACACCACTGGTATTCTCCTGGGAACAGAGTGCTTCTTCTCCTTTTATTTTTCCCAGCTAGCTTACAAAGATGTATCATCAGAAAAATAATTTCCTTTAAAATGGCATGAAATAGAGAGATCAATTTCAACTGATAATGAGTCTAAATGTTTTCACCAGACCAACAGACTCCACTGGGAAAAGTCAGGTGCTCCCTCAGCTGAATATCCAGACCTCAAATCCAGGGAAGCACTTTCAATTTAGTTTTTCCTCTGAGGAGCTGATTTGAGTTCAGAGTTATTTTATTGCCCTTTCAGCCTAACCATGGCATAGAAGTTAAATGAAGATGAGTCTCAGCTCTCACTTCAGGCTCATCTAGCACAGATTGTCAGCCAAATTTGTAAATCAATGCCCTGAAGTAAATCCAGTCAGACTGTGTAGATGACATGTTAGAGAGGTAAACTGAGCAACTAAATTAAGTTCAGTGTATGGAATTCAGCAGCAAAGATCCAACCTGCAACAGCAAAGGCCATCCTTTTCAGCAGCTGCCAGTACAAATGTGAGTCAAGGGGCCAGCTGGGAATATAACTGGGATAGTAGATGATTACATATTTCACTTAAGATTTTAAAATGACTTAAGAAACTAAGTTAGCTAGCAAAGATCACGTATCTCAGTTAAAGAGTAACAAATACATTAAGAAAGAGAAGCTAGAAGTGACAAAGACAGATGAAGCAATTGTGAAAAAGCAGAGACCATAGAAATACCTTGCCTCAAGAATAATCTAACAGTTAAAAAGAGGCTTGGACTGTGACCAGCAGGTCAAAAGGTCCTGCCAGCTGGCTACAGGCTAAGAGCTCACCATGAGGAAGTTTTCTTCCTCCCATATGACCCCTCCCTGATTTCAAACTCCCACCAACACAATTCAGCTGTAGTGGATATTCAGCTGATTGTAATACGAAGTGGGCAGGTAATGATTAAGTGTTATGTGTCCTTAGAAACTGCCTGGATATGCAAAATCTTTTCTGTAAAAACAGAGGGCAGGAGTCTTGGACACGTATCTAGAAATGATTCCACATGTGTCCAGCACAGCAATAAAGTATCCTTCTTTTCAAATTTAATTAGCAGAAGAGTTGTCTGTCGGTGCTTCAAATGTGTCAGCTCCATTAATACTCTGTATTTCTTGTCCTTCCCTTGCTTCTTCTATGTTCTATTTTCATATTTTCTTTATTTTTATTGAGTTGATAAAGGCCCCAACACATTAGGATGAAATTTTCCATGAAACTATCAGTTTTATGTTTAATAGAAGATCAAAAAAATAAACAAAATAATAATTATTCACATATTTAACGATTTTTAAAAAGAAACATATTTTTTGTAATTAAAAGACACCAAAAAGAAAATTTTGAGGTAATTAAGTAATCTGATAGAAACTGAGACAGAATCTGACCTGGAGGTTTACTTTAATTCCCTGAAGTTCTTTAGAAGTCTTTAACAGCTGATGAAGTATGTTGCTCCTCTCTTTAAAGACTTCTTTCAGTTGTCTTTCCAGCTCTTCATAGCCCTGTCTAACACAAAGAATAAAAACACGAGATCATTTCACAACATTTGTCCATGCAACTGAAAACATATCTTAGTTCATCCAAATTTAATTAATTCCAACACCCTGTGTAGATTTCAAGGGGACTATGTCCCCTTGCTCACCTGTAGAACTTAATTTTTCCTGATATTGATGAGTAGATGTTTTATACATTAAAATGATGTCCTGATTCTGTGTGAGCAAATTACCAGATTGAAACACTGCAAATGATGGATTGTCTGTGATGAACAGGAGACATAAAGGGATGTATTTAGCATGAGTGACAGTGTGAGATTTTTCTTACCTTAAAACATATACCACACAAGAAACAAAGCAAAACTTGGTAAGTATGAAGATTTGAGGCACCAGTAAGAACAATCCATACCAATTATAACTTGCTAAATGAAACACAGCACTCCTTTAACACCAACACCTTAGTATAAAGCATAGATTAATAAAAGTTAGGTGTTACCAGCCGCTTTTGCACAAGAAGCCTAGCCCCAGATGATAAACAAATGGTAGGTGCTATGCCTAATGCTAACTGCTCTTGGACAAAAACAAAAACAAGTGTTCTAAGATGATAAGGGAAAGGAATGTGAGCTAAAGGGTTTGGCTAACGGCTTTTTCTGCAGCACAAGGGCTTAACCCACATGCACTAAGCAACACTGAAGAACACTTACTAGCTGCTGCTGGTAGTTTTTATGACTAATAGAAGAGCTGTCACAAAGCACAGAAAAATGTAATAAAAGAACAGGAACATAATTATTGCACAATGTCAGATGAAGCATAACTGATACAGCAATAAGGTGTGCAATAATACAAGTAAGCATTAGCAATATAAGTGTAATGAATGTATTGGATAAGAATAGCGTGCCACGTTTGTAAGGTAAGATAAGAAAACCACAAGTTATGGCAGACTCCAACCCCTTAATACTGTAACTTTTAGATAAATGAACAAACAGGGCAGGTGCCAAACTTGTAAACAAATGAATAACCACTGTAAAGTGAGCACAACAGAGATGCATGTGGAGGTGTGGAGTTAACCATGATGTCTATACAACTTAGGTCAAAGTTACGAGGTGCTTACACAACCTGAGCAACAAGACATCAATATAACCTGATATCAATATAACCTGAATCATAACTTTGTACACTTATATACCCTAAAACCTTTTTATAGTTATATAACTTGAATCATAGGTTTTTATACCAGTATAACCTGATACAAACTTTCTATACAATGTGTATAAATATACCACAGCACTTGACAGAGGTGGGTGAGCTAGGTGGAGATATCCCCCTCACCCACCGGTGCTGCAATAAGCTCAGTGGAATCAAACTTAGCTATTAATTAATGGATAAGTAAAAAATCCTATCCTTTTCAAAATGGAACTTTTACTTGGAATGAAACCTTTTATTTTAAAGTTTTTATAAAATCCCCAATGAAATAAACCCGATTCATATTGCTTGAGGTTAAATGAAATGCAGATCCAGCTCTCATTCCATTTCAGAAAAACAGGTAAACTTCACAATTAATGCTAATGCAACATACTTTTTAATTTAAAATTGCTGCTTTAATAAACACCAAACAGTGAATTTAAAGACCTTTTACTTTTGCAACTTAATTTTTCTTTCATGCAGTACTTCTAGTTCTAAAAAGGTGGAAAAAAAAATATCTCAAATTTTTAGCAGAAAAGTTGCATTTTACTTGGAGATTAAGGACCTAGAGGTTAAGCAGGGATCTTAACACTCATGGACTTTGAATACACACTTCAGCAGAGAAACTTAGGAAAGCAAATTAAATGTCCTATCTAATATCAGTACTATCTACTTTAGCAAACCACAAGCTCATAAAATACGACAGACTTACCAAAGCAGAAAATTATTCTATATTAAATGATACTTTAAGTAACTAGAAGTGATGACAGTGACTTGACTTTCCTAATAAAATAACTAGATAACTGTATGTTATCAAAACATAAGTTCAAGGCCAGCTGAATGGAGTTTTGAGCATCCTGGCCTAGTGGAAGGTTTCCCTAGCCATGACAGGGGATTGGAATTGAAATTCCTCTCTAATCCAAACCATCCTATGATCAAAAATAAGTTAGCTCTAAAAGAAGTCATGCAGCAAAACTAACATGGGTTTACAGGAAATCTGTATGCCAAAATTATGGACCTTCCAAATTTAGCATTATTTACATTTATAGTTTCTTTTTTTGGTTCAATTTTTTTTCCTACCGAATTGTACAAAAGAAAATATATGACTCAAAATTAGCTAGTGCTAGACAATTATAAATGATAAACATAAGCATTCTCATTATTACCTGCAATATATATAAAATGTTCTGTGTAATACAGGAACACCTACAGTTTTGTTCTTTTTTTTCCCATGCAAGCTACATATGATTCTAAAGAGGGTATCACTGCAATGGAGCTGCCTTACCTTAACAGTAACATTATGTGTAGTCAGCCTGACACATTTCAGAGAATACCATCAGTTTAATTTGCCTATAAACACAGTTCAAGGAGGAATTACCTCCTGCTAAACTCATCAGGTAGTTTGAATAAGATCATCACTTCCATTCCTTTTTAAGTAATAGAAAAACATGTATTAGTCCTGATGGTCTCCTTTTCTATTGATATGTTGGGCTTAAAAAAAAAAAAAAATTACATGCTGGTGGTAACATTGTGTTTTAGCAATAACTTTGAAGTACCACACTCTGTCCCCTAAACATGCTTGAGCATTGAATGGTCATCTGTCCATCCCAAGCTGCCCCGTGGGTAGTCAGCTGGCTCATGTTTTGCTCTATTACCTGAAAATTAGCAATTTGCATGAACTAGGAGATTTCCAGAATTTAAAAATTTAATTCAATCATGCATGCAGTTGTCTTTTCCTTCGCATTATCTTCTACGACACACTGTGCAGAAAGGTGGAGATAAAAAGCCAACAACCAAAATCTACCACGGTGAGTCACAAATCAAATCAAACCCTCATAACTGTTTGTAAGGACTCAGAGAGCCCGGCTGCCTGCCTCAAACACTGCCAAAAGGAACCTGCCATCAGGAAAGTCACCACAGCAGAAACTTCAGGTAAGCACAGAATGAGGGACTCACAAAGGAAAGTTCTAATTCCAGGCCTGGCAGGTGTGAGATCTGGTAAGCACATCCTGGTGAATGCAGGCAGACAGAAATTCCCACTGCGGCACACTGTGGGAAAGGAAGCCACTGTTTAGGGACAGATCACCCCAAGTTTTGGGACAGATGTCACCGGCAGCCACCAGTGACCATCACTTTTAACAAGATACTGAAATTGCAACAATCAAGTTTCATTACTGGATCCACTAGTAGTGATACTTTTTCTCTCCACTATTTAGTCTAACACTTCCTTTTTTCTTTTTTTCCTTAAGACATTTTCTTAAATGATACCTTTATACTTGTATTACTACAGATGATGATAATAATGGTTACATACCTCCTTCCTGTTGCAATCAAATTGTTCTAATACAGATATATATATATAAAAAACTAATTCAGTGCTCTTTCACTCTAATCTGCTGCCCCAAGGGATACCTCACGAATCTCAGTTACCCTGCCTCCAGGAATGTGTTGCAAAACTATTAGAAGATATATTTTTTTTAAAACAGGAATGAAGATACAAGACAGTAATTAATTAACACTTAGGTCTCAAAGGTTTTCTGTTCTGGGCAATATTATCTCTGGCATCAAGCTCTGATTCTGCATTGTGTCCAAGAACAGTACCCATAAATTTGAATACAGTGAAATTCAACCCTGCACCCATGTGATAACCCACAAACCCCCAGATCAGGCCATCTGTTTTGGTCACCTCAACTTCTACAGTGAGAACTTGTGTTATTTAAATTAATGAAGTGCAATTCAAGTGAAAACCCATAAATTTTGGTGATCTAATCATGAATCACTTAGATTATTCAAGATCTCTCACATTCTCAACAAAACTGAATATATTTCCACATTATTTACAGCAAAGAGGCAAACTTACCAATTATGTCAACGGTGTGGTTGACATTGACCTCAGTGGAAGGTACATTAGGAGCTATACAACAATCTGCGTCTGTTTGAATGAATCCTTATGCATCAATAATTTATGTTCACCTAGTATTAAAACTGGTTGCTAGTAACAAAAGTCAGGTTTTAAAGTCAAAGCTTGTTGAGCACCACACCACCCTAACAAACATTTTGTGGCAATCATAATGAAACTTTTCAGTATTAGTCAAGATCTTCCATTCTCATCAGTAAAATCCCAGACAGTTCAGCACATTAAGGGTAATAAGTATTCTAAATATTTTAATGGAATTTTACAAATATGATACTATACAGAACATTTTTTCAGTAACAAACTGTCTAGTAAGAAAAATAAACATGTACACATCTTGCAGACATGAAGGGGCAGAACTTCTTAAAATCTACTTGAGTGAAATAGATCCAAATGTTTTGTAGTGTAACATGTGCTGTTTATATTACAAAACCAGTGGCAAAGTCACCAAAAATGACATAGTCTTTACACAACTCTGTGATTGTTGTTTAACTTACTATCTTTTGGGGTTTTTTTAATAATAAAAAATTTGGAGTTCTTATGTTTATCCTTCTATTGTGATGAACTTTCTGAACATAAGAGGTAAAAACAGTAACAGTTTTAGAATTAGCTTTTTCCCTCACAGCCCTTCTAGACACGAAAAGAAATGTGCCTTCCCACAGCAACTGTGCATTTGATGTTCTGAATGCAAAATATGACAGCATTTCCCTTGTTTTCTTTACACAGCCTGTTAAATTAACACTTAGCTTTAGGATAATGCATGTAGGCAATGTCTTTTCTTAAAGGGTCAGCTATTAATTTCTGACAATTTATAGCTGAACTAGTCTTGCTCCTAAAGCCATTCTCACTATTATTAGTGCTGTGCCTGCATGCACAAGGTGGGCAGTAATGCAACACTGCATCATGCTGCATCCCTA